CCTTCCTTCCCCGTGTCTCTGTCTCCTCGGGTCACTTTCTCTGTTTTGCTCTCTCGACTGTCTGTTTCATGCGTCCGTCCATCCATCCGTCCATCCATCCATCCATCCAAGAAACCTTCACTCAGCGCTCCCAAGACAGCGTACTTTCCAGGAGCGCGGGCCTTGCCAGGGGTCGAATTTCACCTGGGGGGACACGTGCTGTGTGGCTTTGGGCAAATCATTTCACCTCTCGCGGCCTAATCTGTCCTGAGCATTAAAACAGACCCTATCTCCTGGGGTTCTGGTGAGAATTAAATGCTTGTGATGTTTCTGGAACAGTGCCTGGCATGGCATAAGCACTGAAAAATGTCTGCATTCCCCCTGGGAAGGGAGCAGTTACTACACATGCAGGCGCGGAGCTTGCGCTGGGTGCCAGGACACCGCGTGGGCGGGACGGGGTGTTTGCCACTCTGGGGCAGCTCCTGACCTCGGGTGATAGTCTCTCAAGTGGGTTCTGGCTTTCTAGTTATCCCCGAGAGGGTCTTGGAGGTGCAGAAACGTCAGCATTCCTAATTTAGTGTGTGTTTTGTTGTTCAGCTTGCAATTATGTCTAAACGAATAGACATACATTTCCGGGGGTGACTGCTCACAACTTTTACTGGTGGCAATGTGGTCAAGAAAGTTTAGAAACCTCTGATCTGGCGTGAGAAGGGTGATGTGAAGCCAGGGGACGTGAGCCGCAAAGGACATGCCGCTGGTCCCCGTGGGAGACGAGAAGAGGCTAAGCCTGGCTAAGACTGGGCAGGAGACAGGGTGTCACTAATGTCTTTTGGGGGAGGGGCCAGCTGGAGTTTGACCGTTGAAGGCAGGCTGGAGAGAGGAATGAGGACGTGATTCCAGGAGCTAGATGAGCATGTGCAAATTGTCCCCTACTGTCAGGGTGGTGCGGCTTGAAAATGGAGCAAAGTTCAGGATGCAAGAAGCATTGACTTGAGAGAGGAAGCCGAAGAGGTTGGGAGGGCCGGACGTTGCTGGACCTCCAATGCCACCCCGAGGGGCTGGGACCTTGTCCTGAGGAGCGAGGGGACCACAGGAGGGGCAGAGTCAGCTCTGGGCGTAGAAGGACCCTCTGGGGGCCGTGTGAGGATGAACAGGAGTTTGGGAAGCCGGGAAGAGTTTGGATGAAGGTCTGCCTGAGAGGGGAAGAAGTCTGAGCCAGGGCTGTGAGGACACAGAAAGGAGGGGACGAGGCCAGGAGCTTGGGGACTGATAGATTTGGGGAAAAAGGAGAGAGGATTGTGTCCGGTTTGGGGCCTGGGGGACAGCGGAGTTGATTCCAAGATGGGGAACCCTTGACAACGAGCAGATTTGGGAAAAGTTGTGGAGCTCAGCGTGGGATCTTGTGAGTTAGAGGGGTCCAGGGAGACCCGTGGGCGTGGCAGGCCCGGGCCTGGGTCTCCCATCCAGGGTTTGAAAAGTCCTTGATGTCAGTGGTAACAGAAACTGCAGAAGTAGGTGTGATATCACGGGGCAAAGGCGTAAGGTTAGGGAGGTCGCAAACTGGCAAGTCTATGACTGATATTTTTTTGTGTGTGATGGAAATGCAGTTTTAAAAATCCGTCTCAAACTTGCACCCCTCAACTCACCACAGCCTCCGACACGTCCACTTATTTTCCACCTGATGCTTCTCTCCCTTAAGTTACTTGCCTGGCCCCTGGGGGCCTCGAGTTTGAGACCTGTGTAGGGGAGCCATGTGATCTTGGATCTGGGGACCACCTACACTCAAGGGAGGCACAGAGGAAGAGAAAGCCACAGAGGAGGGAAGGACAGAGCAGCTGTGTGTGTGGGTGGGGGGAGGGCAGGTTTACTCTGCCAAGGCAAAGGATTTCTGGAACCAGAGTCTATCAGTTGTGACCAGTGCCACTTGGTGATAGTCAGATGAGACCTGAATAGAAGCCATTGTATTTGGGGAGGGGCAGGTAATTGCTGATCTTATCGTTAACAATTTCAGTTTGATGGCCTCACATAGAGGCGGGAAGGCAAGAGGGCAGAAGTGCAGAGGGGGAGTCTGCCAGCTGTCCACCAGAACTTTCCGCGATGGTGCAGATGCTCTGTATCCGCGTTCAACAGGGCAGCCGCTGGCCACTGTGGCTCCTAACCACTCGAAATGTGGCCAGAGCAATCTAGGGACCGGATCTGTGATTGTATTAGGTTTTAATTTATTCGGATATAAAGAGTCCCATGTGGCTAGGGGCTGCTGATGGAACAGCTCAAGTTCTGGAACATTCCCTGAGGAGTTTTGCCGGGAGCGGCTAATGGGAAGTAGATGAAAGGGAATGAGGGGGTCATGGATGGGACCGAGATGGGTAAAAGGATCAGGTGGGTAAACTGAGGCATGCCAGGACCCTGGAGTGGAGTAGGAAAGGAGGGGGCGCATCCTCCACCGTGCCGGGAGCCGGGCTGAGTGTATTCCGTTCATCCCACGTGTGGATCGGTTGGCCTAGTGTCTTCCCGACTTTTGCCCAATTTACAACTTTTGCCGAATCCACGTGCCGCTTGTGCTCACTTCGTTTACGATCCGAATCCCCCCTGGAGTCAGGGACCAAAGAGATTTAGACACATTCGCAAATAAATCCCCCGTTCCCCAAACCCAGATTTCCTTACCCTTTAAAACCCCGGTGCCAATCACATTTGGATCGCGAGGCTCCGCGCACATTTGTTTGGGGGCAGGGGAGAGTGTCATATGTGAACACGGGAACTGGGAAGCCTGTTCCGTTTGCCACAAAGAGAAAGAAACAAGTTATAAAAGGCGATTCCAGCGAAAAGCAAGTCGAAGTATATTCTTTCTTGCCGGATGCTGCTGCCGGCCCAGGTTTCTGAGCGGGAGGTGCCTGTCCTCTTTCAAGAAGACAGAATAGCAAAGGGCCGGGCCTCAAACACCTGGCGCCAGCCGAGCCTCTCGCCAGGGATCAGAACTGCAGAAAGGAATGCCTTTCGCACTGTTTTTCAAGGTTATTTAAAGCTGTGTGTGGAGCTCATGTGCAGTCTCTTTTCCGACTGGGTCCGGAATGCAGCCCTCGTTCCAGGAAGCACTGTGCATGTCACCGGCTCCGCTTGTCACAGGCTCCTTCTAGCTCTAGGCTGTGTTATTATGGTCTTTTCATTTGAGGAAGAAATTTAGGCTCAGAGGAGAGAAGCTCCTTGCCCTAAGTCACACACATCTCTCTAGATTTTTCTTTTCATGCTGAATTTTATCTGTTTGGACTGGGGGCAGCGAGGACACTCTTGGGAGGCCCCTGCGCTCTGCCGTGTCGGGCCCTGCAGGCCACGCTGCTCCGGCTTTCTTGAGCCACTGCCACTTCGGGCCAGGAAGGGTGACTGTGTCTCTCCTTTCACCGTCTCTCCCTCGGGCTCTTTGGAACCAGGGAGGGTCAGGGTCAGGGTCAGTGCAGACTGTGACTGCGGGGCGGGGCCCGTGTGTGTGTGGGGGGGTGCTGCTGAGGAGTCAGGCAGAAGTACGGACACTTCTCCAGGATGTTTGGGGCTGGTGGGGACACCCCTGGGGTTCATGCTCCCCTTATCCCTCCCCCCACCAGAGGGACCTTGTGCCAGTGTGGGCGTCCCCGGAGTGCCCACCTGTCAGTGGCTGTGGAGGATGCGTTCGGGGCAGCCGTGGTGACTGTTTGGGACAGTGACTTGCACACCACGGAGAAGCCCACTGATGCCTTCGGGGACCTGGACTTCTTGGGCTCTGGCCGCAAGGCCAGCAATGTGAGGCCGCATGCCTGGGCAGGGCTGGGGTTGGCCAGTGGGACCGCATGTCTCGGGGGCTCCCCGAGCTGGGGTCTGGAGGCGCCCCAGCTGAACACTGTGTCTCCCCATTTGCCCATCCCTGTCTTTACCTCGCTCTGGGTCTCTGTGTCCCTCGCTCTGGTTCTCTGTCCCTACCCCCTGGGTCTCTGTCCTCCCCTCTTCATGTCTCTGTCCCTTCCTCCCTGGGTCCCTGTCCCCGTCTGTGTCCCCGTCTCCGTGTCCCCTCCTCCCGTGTGTCCACAGTTCCTCCGGCTCTCCGACCGCACGGATCCAGCTACCGTGTATAATCTGGTCACGCGCACGTGGGGCTTCCGAGCCCCGAACCTGGTGGTGTCAGTGTTGGGGGGGTCGGGGGGCCCCATCCTCCAGACCTGGCTGCAGGACCTGCTGCGAAGCGGGCTGGTGCGGGCTGCCCAGAGCACAGGTGACTGAGGGTGCGGGGGGCTCTGCCTCCTGGGCTGGGGCTGGCTGCTCATCTCCCCACTTCTCTGGGATGCTGTGTCCCCTCCATCTCTGTATGGGCTCTTGACTCAGTCTTTAATCTCTCTCTCTCTCTCCACGCCTGCGTATTTCTGGACCTCACCACTACTCTCTGTCTCCGTGTAGGGGCCTGGATTGTCACTGGGGGGCTGCACGCAGGCATTGGCCGACACGTTGGTGTAGCTGTGAGGGACCACCAGACGGCCAGCACTGGGGGCACCAAGGTGGTGGCCATGGGCGTGGCCCCCTGGGGTGTCGTGCAGAATAGAGAGGCCCTCACCAACCCCAAGGTAGGAGCCGGGGTCTTGGCAGAGAGAGGTTCTGGCCATGGGCTTCTGGGTCTGAGGGAGGAAGGGCCAGGCTGGGACTCCTGGGTCTTGGGGTGCAGGAGGGGCCGGTGTCTGTCCTCTGAGGCCCGATGGAAAGACTCCGTGACCCCCAGGGCTCGTTCCCGGCCAGTTACCCGTGGCGTGGGGACCCCGAGGACCGCGTCCAGTTTCCGCTCGACTATAACTACTCAGCCTTCTTCTTGGTGGACGACGGCACACACGGCCGCCTGGGCGGCGAGACCCGCTTCCGCCTGCGCTTCGAGTCCTACATCGCCCAGCAGAAGACAGGTGTGGGAGGTGAGTGGCCTCAGCCTCAGGATCCCTGCGCTCCCGCCTGGTCGAAATTTGGTGGCGGTGGCGAGGACGAGCCTCCTATGGCCAAGTGCTTTCCCCCATCATTCGCTGTGCTTTAAAACGATCTTTATCTCGAAATCTAAAAATGCAGGTAAGTGGACAGCTTGACGAATTTTTTCACAAACTGTACCCACTTATGCAATCAGCGCCCAGATCAAGAATCAGCAGATTAGTAGCCCCCAGAAGCCCCCATCTGCGCGTTTTGGAGCCTGGATTCTTCTGTTGACATTATTTCTGTGAGATTCATCTGTATCGTTGCTTGAGTTGTAGTTTGTAAATAACCCACGAGTCACAGAAGAAAAAAAAAGTTAGACAACATTTTGAACTGAACGATAATGAATATATGACATGCCAAGGTTTTTGAGATGCAGCTAATGCAATACTTTGAGGGAAATCCATAGATTTAAATGCATATACCCCAAAAAGAAGAAAGGCTGAAAAACAATGATTTAAAACTCCAATTAAAAAAAAACAAACAGGAAATCAAACCTAGGGAAAGTAGAAGCAAAGAAATAATAAAGACGAGGGCAGAAATTGATGAAATAGAAATATATACAATGAAGACTATCAACTAAACAAACGCTGTTTCTTTGCAAACACATCCTTTGTGTAAAAAAAGTGTCCGTTTAATTCTGGCGACTTTAATTTTATTTTTTAAAAATCCTCATACAGCAGGACGGTTTTTGGGAGTGCGCAGATCTATGCTTATAGATTCTTGTGACCAGTTTCACAGTCAGGACACAGACCATTTTTGTCACCATGAAGACATTCATTCCTTCTGTACCCCAAACCCTGGCAACCACCGATTTAGTTTTAATTTGATTTTTAATTTATCTAATATTGTTGAGAACTACAAATCTATATGTATTGTTGGCCAAACAAATTTTCTCAATTATGAGAAAATTTGAATAGTCTATTCAAATCTTCTTTCCTCTTTTTTTACATGGGTTATTTCTCATCTTTTTTCTTTCTTATCTTTTTATAGGATTTCTTTGTATCCTGTGGATAATAACCTTTGGATTACTAGATGTATTGTAAAGTTTAAAAAATGTTTTAATTATGACTTCTATTTCTATAAAATTCCATTGTTTTTATATGGTTAGATATATTTGTTGTTTCTTTTATAGCCACTGGGTTTCCTGTTTTTTTTGTTTGTTTGTTTGTTTGTTTTTTTAACAAAGGTCCATCCTACTCCATCGCTATACAACTATTCTCTCTGTCTTCTTTTTAATATCTTATATTTTCATATTTAAAAATTTAATCCATCCGGAAATGATTTTTACATGTTTTGAGGTAGAGAGTCATCTATACTTCTTTTCTGCCAAACAGGAAGCCATGTTTTCTTCATGACCATTTAATAAATAAGCCATCTTTTTCCAGATAAATTTGAAATAATATTCAGTATATATTCAGTTTCTTCATACATTGAAATCTGCTTCTGAACCCTTTTCTCTTCTATCTCTCTAATCCTGTGCCAATTATGTTGATTACAGTAGTTTAAAGATGTTTGGATGTTAATTAGGGAAAGTTCCCCCTCACTGTCCCTCCTCAAAAATATCTTAACTCTTCTCTGACATTTATTCTTCCATATGAATTTTAAAATGATTTTGTTCCATGAAAAACAAGGAAAACACTTCTAAACCCTCCTCCCCTCTCCTTTACTCAAACTGCATTAAATTTGTGTGTTACTTCGGGACAGGTTAATATGTTCTTAGCTTTTCCATTAATTCAGGTCTTGTCCTTAAATAAGGTTTATAAATTTCCTCATAAAGATGTCATACCTTTCTGGAGAATTAATTCCTAGGTATTTTATATATATATATTTTTATCACAACATGAATAGGATACATATTATTACTAGTTTGGAGAAAAGTTTTTGATTTTTGTGTATTTATATCAATTCTCTTTCCAAATCCTCTTATTAATATTTACTTACTTTGAGCGGAGTCTCTACGACTTTCTGAGACTATAAATTATATTTTCTTCAAATAGATATCTTTGTGTCTTCCAGCTTAAAAAAATGCGAGTTTTCATTCCAATTATTTCATTTTTTTTTTTTTACATTATTATTCTCAAACGAGTGTGCATAGTAGTAGTGTTGTCTCGTTTCTTATTTTAATGGGAACAGAGTTCGTAGAAAACTGTCTTACAGATTTTGCTATTGGGTTTTGGTAAATATCCTTATTGGATTCGGATAGTCCTTTCTTTTTCTTATTTCCTTCATTTTCTGGTTGAATTTTCATCCTCTCCTGGCTCTTGGGTGGTTAATCAACTATAGGATTATGCCACAAACATCTGCCTTGTTCGGGAACCCAGGAGTCCAGGCCCTCAGCCCCCTCCTTCCTTGGGGAGATGAGCATGCATTACTGTCTTCAAAATCTGGCCCCTTTGAGCACATTCAGAGACAAGACAATTCCCATGAGCCTCAGGACGGAGGATTAGGCAGAAGCCGATGTTCGCCCCAGGGACTCCTGGGAAAATGTGGTTCTCTCCCATCCCTGCAAAGGATGTTGGGAGGTGACCAAAACCCCGTCTCTCTTCTCTCCTCAGGGACCGGCATTGACATCCCTGTCCTCCTCCTCCTGATTGATGGTGATGAGAAGATGCTGAAGGTATAGGGGCCCAGATGTGTGGGTTTAAGGGGTGAGGTGGCCTGGACCTTGAATCATAGGGGAGGAGGGGACTGGGGATCTGGACTCCAGGTGGGGTGGACAGCTGCCTTCCCTGACCCCACTGCCCCCTTTATCTCGTAGCGGATAGAGAATGCCACCCAGGCTCAGCTCCCCTGCCTGCTGGTGGCCGGATCTGGGGGAGCTGCGGACTGCCTGGCGGAGATCCTGGAAGACACTCTGGCTCCAGGGAATGGAGGGGGCAGACGAGGTGACGCCCGAGATCGGATTAGGCGTTTCTTTCCCACAGGGGACCCTGAGGTCCTGCAGGCCCAGGTACGACACTGAGGGCCCGACTCTGGACTCTGAGATGGAAAGGAGCTGGGACCTGGACTCCTGGGTCTCGAGAGAAGAGGGTGCTTGCTGAGGGCTGGGAGTCTTGGGTCTAAGGGAAGAGGAGAGGAACGGGAGCCCAGACTTGTAGATCTGAAAGAGGAGGGGCTGGGAGTCTCAACTCCTGGGTCTCAGGGAGGAGAGGCCTGGGGGCTTGGACTCCGGAGTTCTGGGACTAGACAGTTGCTGGGCACCTAGACTACTAGGTTCTGAAGGCTTCCTGTGTCTCTGCGGGGATGCGGGATTTGGTATTCTGCAGGTGGAGAGGATCATGACCCGGAAGGAGCTGCTGACAGTCTATTCATCTGAGGATGGGCCTGAGGAATTTGAGACCATCGTTTTGAGGGCTCTCGTCAAGGGTAAGACTTGGACCCCCAAATCCTCCCCTTCTCTCCACTAAACTCTGGACACCTTTCCTGACCTGGCACTTTATCTGTCCTCTCTAATCTCAGGTCGTGCCCCCTTTCATCTCTTTCTATTTATCATTCCCCTTTGCAGTGTTTCTTGGGTGTTTGCATGGTGCTTGTGGACAGTTTTCCCAAGATAGTTTCATTATGTCCCAACGTGACTTTCTTTCTGTTGGACCTGTGCATTCATCCTTTCCTCCTTTATCAGTTCATCCATCCATCATCCATCCTTCCATCTCTTCATCCATCTACCCATCCGTTCTTCCATCTAACCGCCCCCCACCCCTTCCTCTTCTACATGCCTCCAGTATGTTTCAAGCACTGAGGGGTGGGGGAGTCAGAGATGAACCAGAGCACTGTCTCTCAGTGAGCAACTCCTGATATTTCGCTAGAGGAATGAATGATGGAAACCAAGGTAGGGGGCATAATGGCCACCTGGTCGTGGCCGGGGATGCAGCTCGTTTACGCATTCAACAGATATTATTCTAGGCTCCAGGGAATAAAGCAGACCCATTTCCTGCTCTCAAGGACCCTAGATCCCCCCCAGGGTTATTTGGACACAATCCTAAGTAAATTTAATACAAAAGCTTGGAGGGGGAACCACTGTTAGTAAGAGGGGAAAATTCAAGAAACTGGTGTTTAAATTGGGCCTTGAAGAACTGGTAGAATTTGGACTTAGTTAGGTGAGGAGCTGGGGTACATACGTTGTAAGGAGGATTCCCAGGGCTCTGGGGGTGCAGGTGGGGAGGGTCATTTCTGGTGTCAGAAGCATTTTACAAAGAGAACACGCACTTAAATAAAAACTCCCAAGAGGCATAGCGTCTATTTTTCTAATGCGTTCTCAGCCCCGCTGGCATCCACCATGTTCCGTGGAAGCAGAAGGAATAGTTAGTTACTTCTGACTTTGGAGTCAGATAAAGCTACCATCGAATACCAGCTTGGCCCCTTCCTTGCTGTGTGACCTTGAGAAAGAGGCTTCATTCCCCTCTCTGCATCTTAGTCTCTTTCTCTGAAAAAATGGTGGAATGTCGTGGGACCGAGAAGCCGCTTAGGAGCAGTGCCGGGTCCCTGGGAGCTCTTCTTAAACATAATTCTGTTTCTTTTGGGGACACATCCTGAAATAAAAGCTAACGGTGGGCAAATCCGATTCACTTTACGGAAGTGAACATTCGAGCTGCTTGGGAGAAAACGCAGCAGCTCTGTGAGATGTGGTTCGAGGGGGCGGTGTTCTAACTCCATCGTCTGCAAAAGGGGGCGTGATCACACTCTGCGGGGGGGAGAAATTGGAGCCGGCCGGCGGCTTGGCGATAGCATCGTTGAATAGATGGGGTTTCAGCAGGTGAGGGAGGAAAAGGGAAGAGAACGAAGGCTCCTGAAGAGTCTAGTACGAGCCAGGCACTGTGCCGAGCACTCGGCATGCATTATGGCCCCCGATCCTCCATCCTTTCCTGCAAGGATTGTCTCCTCATTTTGCAGTTAACACACTGAGGCTCAGAGAAGGGAAAGGTGACTTGCCTGAGGTCATACCAGGTAACAGGGGTCGGCCTTTTAATTCAGGTGTCTGACTCTCAAGCTCACTGCACGGGGTGCGTTTGGGGGAGACGTAAGAGGCCCGTGTGGATGGCACAAAGGGAGCGTTGGAGACAAAACCAGTGAGATAGGCTGGGCCAGACCACCCAGGACCTCGACTGAGACTTTGTCCTGAGAAGGACGAGAGGACCAGTCCTGTGTATAGAAGGACCCTCTGGGATCATGCGGGGACAGACAAGAGAGGAGAAGACAGGCCGAGGATAAGCAAGTTACTGCAGCAATGGCGGCAGGGTGGGACGGAGCCGTGGGCGCAGTCGGGGGGCCTAGGCAGAGAGAGTGGGGTGCAGGAGAGATGGGGCGTGGGGAACTAATGATCTGGGGGATGTAAAGGGAGGGACGAGAACATCACCTGGGGGTCTCCCTCGTTTACCGGGTGGACAAAGGCACCATCCCTGAGATGGAAGACGCAGGGGAAGGTCAGTTTGGGGAAAGACCCCGAGCTCGGTGTGGCACGTGGTGAGCATGAATTCAAGGCCCGAGGGAGGTGCAGGTGACAAATGGTGACATGTTAAGGCAGAATATAATGCAAGATATTATAGATCTTTTTTCTTTTTTTTCCCCTTTCCCTGTGAGGAAAGCAGGGGGTGATTCATAGACTCTTAGAAAGTCTCTCTCTGAATTTGCTTCTGGGTTTGGAAAAGAAATATAAAGCCGTGCGGTCCTAGGTATATTGCTATCTGTGCTTCCTCACCTCTCAATCCGCGTGGTTACGCGGCTGGAGCTGTCAATTCCTCCCAGTTTGGAGCTTCTTCCCGCGGTTATTACTGATAACAGTGCTCCGCAGTGGCTACCATCATGATTCCCATTTTATAGATGAGGAAACCGAGGCTCCCGCCGGTCGGTGGCCTGCCTGAAGTCGCTCAGTTGGCATTGGCGGAGCTGGGATTGCAGTGGCCTCGGAGCCCCCTGCTCATGTCCACCATCGCCTAGTTGTACCATGACAATTTGGGGAACGACCGAAACGAGACGAAAGTCCTTCGTTTTGGAGATAGATGTTGAGAAAGCAGAGACAGAAAGAAAAGCTAACTGTGCCCCACAAGTGCGCTGAGACCCGGCGGTGTGTACAGTTGGCTTTTCTTCTCCTTGGACCCACCGCTCGCCCCCGAAATTTCTGGCCCCTGTTGAGCGCACGTGTTTGTGGCCGTTCAATTGGTGGATCCAAGTTTCAAAGGCCTCTTGATCTTCCTTGCTCATTTTAAGGACCACCGAGGTCTTCTAAAGTCTCTCGAACGTTCGGATTTTTTCCGACCTCATTTTCAGCTACTGTCACTTCTTTTTTTCCCACACACACCCCAAGTTTCAGGAAATCCACGTGACTCACGTTTGTGATCATATCCTGTGTTTTCCTGCACCCGGGCCTTTGCCCAAGCTGCTCCTGCAGCCTGGAAGGTTCTTTTTCACCTTCGAGGCACGCCTCCAGATCCTGCTGGTCTTTGAAAAGCCCCACCTCAATGCCCATCCTGTACCTGTACTAGGCTCTCAGATGGGATCACTCAAGCCTCTGTGACCATAGCCCCCTTGGGCCCTGATCACGTTCTGGGACGTATTTTCTTGGAATGAGCTCCTTCGGGGCAGGGACTGTATCCAGTTTCTCTCCCCACCCCTCCCACTGCCTGGTCCACAACCGATCACGGTAAATGTTAAATGAATAAATGGTTCTTCCTCCTTCTTGGGGGCTCTGAACCACTGGCCTGCACTCTGCCCCTGAGTTGAATGACTTGATGCTTGTAATAGCCTGTCTTCTTAAAGACCCCAGACTCTGCTCGACAACACCCCCTTTGTATGGAATTTAAATGTCAGGCATCTCAAATAGAAGCAGATCGGACACTGATCCCGTGTTCCTACCTCCCTTCTGAGTCCTGCCTCCCTCCCTGTCACCTTCGCAGCCTGCGGGAGCTCTGACGCCTCAGCTTACCTGGACGAGCTGCGTTTGGCTGTGGCTTGGAACCGAGTGGACATTGCCCAGAGTGAACTCTTCCGGGGTGACATCCAGTGGCGGGTGAGGGGTCGGGACCTGGGGGCTGGGGATCGGGAAAAGGGGACGCACTCTCCTTCCTCCCTGATATTTGGCCCCGTCTTCCATGATGGCCTTTCCGGCCTTCTCTTAATTGTACATCCTCTCTGATTATCCATCTATCCCTGTCTTGTTCCTTCTCTCTTCATCTATCCTTCCTTCCTTCCTTCCTTCCTTCCTTCCTTCCTTCCTTCCTTCCTTCCTTCCTTCCTTCCTTCCTTCCTTCC